ACCTTATACTTGCATAGTAAGAGTATTGTTTACTCACCAACCTTAAGATCAATTTTCTTCAAGTCTTGACACTCCTCCAGAAAAGTAAAACATCTATTATTGCCTCCATTTTAGACATCTATTGACTAGTCCAAGGTCATTCAGCAAGTTCATGGCTAAAGTAAGACTAAATATACTTGATTTCCAATCCAATATCCTCTCTACTATTTAATAATAAATTAGAAAATAGGAGCAGATGCCCCCAAATAGCAAGAATTAAGATTAGGGATGTTTACTGTCAAGGTTAAAGGAATTTGGTGCTGTTCACCGGCTTTCTGAGTTGGGAAACCATATCTTTTTAAGTTTATCAGATTCTCTCCATACTGCCCTGCCCTGCATTTCACCAACAATACATTCAGAACACAGTGGCCTCTGATGGGAGCAAGAATGATGACTTCAGTTCCCAGATACTCAACTGGGATACAACAGTTACACGGTGCCCTGTGGTCCACCACTTTTTAACTACATGACCTTGGGTAAGTTATTTCACCCTTAGTTTCCTCAACTGCAAAACAGGGAAAGTAATAGTTTTCACTTTTTGGGCTTACTGAAAGGATTAAATGAATTAAATGCATGCAAACACTTTTAATAGAGACATTCAAATAATACTAGTTGTATAAATGAATGAAGAAAACAAGTCTGGTTATTGCAAACAGTATAAGAAGTTGAGCAGGACTCATTTATTAAACTACTGGTCTAGGCAGTGGAAAGAGGGTGGTCACAAGTCTAAGCTGTGACTTTTCCCACTCACTAGCTACATGGTGTCTATCTATCAACCATCTCAGAGTTCAGTGAAGGAGGCAGAACTTTTAAGTTTGTTTCCCAAATAGGACCATGTCTTTGTAAAATGAATTTCCCCTTTGAAAATTAACTAACCTTCTAAAAGACATGATCACCAGGATTTCACACTAGAAAACCCAGCCTAGAAGTTCAGAGAAGATAGTAGCAGCTTTGAGTCTCCATCACTCCTTACCTGTGACCTCAACCCTGTTCCAGAAGCCCCTGTCTCTGTACCATGAACCTGCTATTCCAAAAGGCACATTAGACACTTGACTCCTCTCAGCTCTGTCATACCTCAACTTGGCAGCCGCAGTACAAAGATACTCAGAGATGCCACGAAACCCCTCTGGTTAAAAACCAACCTCCACAACTTTATTGAGAATAAAGAGCCATGGGCTGATTTGAATTATTACATCTTCCTACAGCTATTCCCTTTTAAATATTTAACCTGGCAAACACTACCACTTTATTTTACAACTTATTTTTAATTGTGTGACTATTAAGCAAACCAAACTATGAAATTGGCTCTCGGTGCTGAGATTTATGTGATTCATAGACCGGAGTTTATTAAAAAAAGGCAGCCACCGAGTGCAGACAAGTCTCACAAGTGCCCCGCACTGTCTCCAGAAGATGTGAACCCTTTTCCCTCGTCTGCCTGTGGCTGCCAAGCTTCCATAGTGAGGAGCATAAAAAATGAACAGAATCTACCCATTTCCCCGTGATTTTTATTTCCTAATCCTGATGTCTAAACTGGAAGTCACGGATGCTACAGTCTTACGGAGGGTGGCAGAAGCTCTGAGAGGCTCATAAACAGAATCAGTGCCCTGAGGAACTTAGGGTTAAGGTCTGAAGGGAAGCTCTGGGATTCCAATAAAAGCTCTCCCTCCAAAAATGCGCTTATACACAAGTATTTATATAAAATCTCACAGGGTTCAAGGACATCCCTGAGCATATCCGCAGACCCCCTAGGGGTCCACAAACCTCAGGTTACTTCTTATTGCTCTCTCCCTCATTTCTCCCCCGCATTTTTATAGTGGCCACCTAATTCATCTCCCAATTTCTCTACACAAGCAGCCAAAACGATAGCAAACCTGCCAGATCATATTATTTCTTTGCTCAATACTAGCTTCCCATTTCACCTGCAATAAAAGCCAACATCTTTACAGTGGTTTACAAGGCCCTACAAGGTCTATCTCCGGATACCCTGCTGACCTCATCTCCAGATCTTCTCAATCTTAATTCCTGCTGCTCTAGCCATGTCCATCTCTTTGCTGAGCTCCCAAAATGACAGACACATCCTGGCCTCTGGGCTGCTCCCTTGAACTCTGTACTCAGCTCTCGCCTTCATTCCTTCTAGTCTTTATTCAATTTTCACTTTGTTGGTGAGGCCTTCCTGACCACTGATTGTAAAAATGCAACCCCACCCCCGCCCTACCTGGCACCTTTTACCCTCTTCATCTGCTTTTTCTCCATAGCAACCATCACGATCTCACATACTATGCACTGTACTGTTTATTATCTCCCACACTAACTTGTTAACTCCACAAAGACAGGGGTTTTGTTCTGTTTCACTACTGTACTCACTTTCTGGAATAATGCCTAACAGAGTAGGCACTCAATAAATACCTGATTGGTGACTAACTGAATGATTAAACTCTGCAGTAGTATGGATATATGCAGGCTAGGGAGTAAAGGGGAATGTACATTTACTGGAACACCACTAAGTGCTAAGCAGTTTGCAAGTTAATGTAAGTCACCTCATTTAACTGTCACACACAATCCTAAGAGGTATCTTTATCCCCAATTCACAATGAAAACAGGTCTGAGAAGTTAGAAAAGAGATGGTTACATAGCCACTGGTGGGGGATAATGCCAACCTAAGTCTGTGTGATTCCAAAGCCTGGCTACAGGACATTACCTAATTATCCTTGGTAGCCGTTTCTACCACTCAAGGAAATTCAACTGCCGGCTTTCACACCTAGTTCTATTTTACTGCAAGCGCTTGAGTCAGAGATCTTTACGAATTTCTTGGAGCTTCTAATCAAGCAAAACAGACATTTAAAGCCTGAGGGTTTTTTTTGCACATTCACATCAAACATTGTCAAAGATACTCTGTAATGAATATCCTTCTAAGGAAGTTTATCATTTTCAGAGTTGCATTCCATCAAACATTCATAAATACTTGCTGAGTGCCTACTATGTGCTGGTACAGTTCTAGGCACTGAGGATTAAAAGATGCATAAGATAACCATTATAAATATATATGCACCCAACACAGGAGCACCAGCATATGTGAAATAAAAGATGCATAAGGCACAGATGGCACCCTCCAGAAACAGGTGTGAAGTCTAGAGCAGTGCTGTACAATAGAAGTGCAATGTAAGCCAAATATGCAGTTTTACATTTCCTAGTTGCCACAATTTCAAAAAGGAGTGGAAATTAGTTTTAATAATATATTTTTATTTAACCCAATGTATCCAAAATATCACTTCAACATCAACAGAAATGTATTATCAATGAGATAATTTACAGTATTTTTTTTGTTTGCTAACACATCTTCAAAATCAGAGTGTATTTTACTCTTACAGCGCATCTCAATTTGGACTAGCCACATTTTAGGAGCTCAGAGCTCATGTAGCTAGTTATGACAGCATTTGAAGTACAGGGCTAGGGAAAAAAACAGGTACAGTCAAAGGGATTTTCAAAACAACATAGTAAAGTGCAATGATAGAGATATGCTCAGGGTCACATAACTGCCAGTTAAGACTTAAGTTTCCAGTGAATTTACAATCCCAAAGACCATATTCATTCTGTAGCACATTAGAGACTTTGCCCCACTGCGAACAGTGGGATTACGTTGGCCTCCACCAACCAAACTTATATATCCAAAACAAAACAGATCTTTTCACCCCAAAAGCCTTCTCCTTCCTTCTCATTTTCTCCTTCAGTTGATAGTACCATTATCTCCCTGCTCATCCTCATTTCATCTTCAGGTAAATGAGCACTTTATCTAGAAGATAATTAAAAATCTAAATGCTTATCAAAAATGCACCTTCCTCTCATGCTCAGGCCACTTTCATCTCTAACATGGGTCTCTACAAGAATCTATTCCCCCACCCCAGTTTCATTGAGATATAATTAACACGTATCACTGTATAAGTTCAAGGTGTACAGCATAATGGTTTGACTTACATACATTATGAAATGATTATTGTAACAAGTTTAGTTAGCATTCATCACTCATATAGACATAGTGAGGAAAAAAACTTGCCTTAAAAACATGGAAGGCTTTACACACTTGTGGGTCATCCTTGCACAAGAACCATGCTAATCTCCTTCCAATTTTAGTTATGTGCTGTCCAAGCAAGCATCAAGAACCTTTTAATTGGTTCCTTTGCCTCAGTCTCTTTCCTAACCCAGCTTCAACAGTAGTTACTATTCCCTAAGGCCCATCAGTGGCTCTTCATCCCTTACACAATAAAGACCAAGTTCTTTTTCAGATAGCACAGAATTCCCTCCAGGATCTGATCTCTGCTTACCTAACAATGCCCACTTGTTTGCCGTTCCTAAACTGTGAACAAGTTCACTTATTTTCTCTGAGCCTCTTACTTTTTTGTAAAAATAGCCAGCCTAATCTTAAAAAGTTGACTTGAATTTAAGAGATAATACACCTTAAACGGTACACAATCAAGGGGTTACTCACTACATCACTCCTTTACACTTTCTATCTAGTGCCTCTTTTCAATTCAATAATATTTACTATATGCTAGGCACCGTGCGAGACACAAGGCAGAGGAAATACAGAAAAGGGTTGGGCGAAGCGATCCTTTGCCTTCCCCAAGCTCATGACAACACAGTTCTCAACAAGTATCTTTAAGGACTAGATAACCTCCAACATTAAGAGCAAATCAGGAAGTCCTCGTAAATTCTGGCCGGGCTGCGCCACGTTCAAGCACCTCCGCTTTCCCCTGCAGTGACGAACAATCGAAAGCACCCCTCCTCTCCCGGACACCTAGATCCGGGACTCACTCTGTAGGGCCCGACCCACCGGCAACGGGGCTGGCGGGGGGCGGGGACTCGTGAGCGGTTTGGGCCTGGGCCTTTGCGCGTGCGCGCTTTAGTCAGCTCAAGGACCCAGATTTAAAGAGACAGGCGTTTCAACCGTCTTTCCTGCCCGCGGCCGGTAGGTGCCTGGTCGGAGGCCTGCTCTACGCGCCGGAGCCGGGAAGACAGGTGAGGGGCGGCGTGGCTGGGCCGTGCGGCGGGGAGGGTGGCGGCCCCGGGCCCGGGAGCCAGTCCTCCTGCCCGCCGAGGCCCGTGCCTCACCGTTCCGAAGTCGGGGCGCCCCTGAGGGAGTTCGGGGCCTCTCTTCCCGTCGCGCGTCCCCTGCCCCAGCCCCCGGGTTCCCGGCCGGCCCGAACCGAGGGGCTCGCCTCTCCGCCTCCTCCCCGGGCGTCCCCGCCCACGCGACCAGCACCCCTGTCCACTCTCCCGAAAGCGTGGCCCGAAAGCCCTCCGGGAAGAGCGGCTGCAGGGACTTCACTTCCCGGCCCTGTGCGGCTCACCAGCCCGAGGCTGCCCGGTCTGCGTTCGGGCCTCAGCGGTTTCCTTCTCGGCCCCCTTGTTGAAATGCCGAGCAGCGGCCGCTGGGGCTGTGGGACAGACGGTTTCCTCCGAGCAGCTTTGTGTCTCCCCGTGGCTCGAAGCCTCAGTGCCTTCAGCCGTGCGATTGTAGGTCGCCGACAGGTGGTCTCAGGTCGGCCCCCGCCATTGAGAGATTGGGATGTTTTAGAATTAGCTCTGAGGAGGGTGTGGAAACCTAATTCGTTCTGAGCTCCTCTTAAGGGCTTGCCATACTTTCACAAATACCTCACTTCTGTGGCTCTTAACTTCTGGGGGTCATAGAGGCCTTTGTGAATTTCATTGAAATAATCATTTTCTCCCCAAAATTGTACATTAATGAATATGCACATTTCATATACATTTTCAGGGAATTCAGAGTCCCTCCCACCAGCGCATCCATGGACTCATTTTTAATTTTTCCAGCCATACCGCGAGGTATGTATTATTTTCTCAGTTTTAGAAATAAGAATATTGAGACCCAGAGGAGTTAAGGATTTCTCAAAGATAACATAGTCACTAAAGCGTTGTCACTCTTACACTCCCATCCCTGATTCCGAGCCACCTGATTTCCTCAGAATCATATTGCACTACAGTAAGTAAAGCCTGCTTTCCATTATAACCCAATTAACAATTTCACTTTGCACTACAGAGGTGTGCAAGCTAAAAATAATTTCTAGTCTATTTTAAATTAGAACAGTGACAATATTTTAGAAAATATGAGTATAACAAAGTTGGGGGGATACCATGTAGATACTGTCCCTGCTTCCATTTGGACGGATTTATCAGCTCTTTTGATCCTTGCTGCCCTGTTACTTCAGCATTCCCTGATTCAAGTTGCTGTATTATTAACAGACTAATTGCACATAGGGAGCCTCTGCTTAAAGGATAACTGTTTCACTGGTTATAGGAAGAGCTAACATTTACAGAGCCCCTGCTGTGTTCCCAGCTCTAGTCTAAGGGGTTTATTCAAGACAACCCCTTGAGTTAGGTGCTGTTATTGTCTGTATTTTACAGTTGAGGAAATTAAGGAATGGAGAGGTTAAGTAACCTACACGGGTTACACAGCTAAGAAGTCAGGATTTGAACCCAAGCAGTCTGGTTCTAGGCTCTGTTTCATTGCCTCATGAAATAGGGCTTCTGATTGAATAAAAAATCCTTATGGTGGCCTAATTATTTTCTGAGCATGACATGTTACACTTCACATTTAAAACTTCATGAACATAATTTTTCTTGGTTATTAAAAGGAAACTTCAGGATCTTATAATACTGAAGGACCATCATCCATTAAAAGCTCTTATGTCATTTGGAGTCTCTTAATTGTGATTTGCTAGATAAACATTTGAATGTTAGATAACTGAATGCCCTTTCACAAACTGAATTTTCCTCTGTTGGAACTCTTCTTCATCCTGTAGGCAGTAGATCTCTAATACTTTGGGAAGTGTTTGATCAGTTCGTATGGGCTGTGTTAGGACTTTGGCTTTTGAGGAAATTGGAAGCCTAGCTCCTTGTTTTTCTCTTACCTGGTCTGCCTCTCACCCTTTTCATGCAGCTATATGACTTTGACTTTCAAGACCCTCTTCCCGCCAGTCCTCCGTGCGCTCAGCCGAAAAGAGCAACATCATTGGCCTGGCCTAAGACAACTCCGCCAGTGGTCAGAAACAGATCTGCTTTATGGGTGCTGCCCCCTCCAGAGAAGAAAGCCTGCTCTGTCATTCCAGGATGGCAGTCTAAGACCGGGTGCCACTTGCCTTGTTTTCTTGCCAGGGTCGCATGTTGGACTCTGCAGTGGCCCCTGTGAGATGGCTGAACAACGGTTCTGTGTGGACTATGCCAAGCGTGGCACAGCTGGCTGTAAAAAATGCAAGGAAAAGATTGTGAAGGGTGTCTGCCGAATCGGCAAAGTGGTGCCCAATCCCTTCTCCGAGTCCGGGGGCGATATGAAAGAGTGGTACCACATTAAATGTATGTTTGAGAAACTAGAGCGGGCCCGGGCCACCACAAAAAAAATTGAGGACCTCGCAGAGCTGGAAGGCTGGGAAGAGCTGGAAGATAACGAGAAGGAACAGATAAGCCAGCACATTGCAGGTGGAGTAGAGAATACTGCTTTCTCATCTCACTGGTGCTGAGAGAAAAAGGGATAAGGAGAGTAGAGTCCTATTTTTTTCCTTCTTCCTTTTTTCCATCCTTCCTTCCTCCATCCCTCCCTCCCTCCCTCCCTCTTTTTATTTGGAAATAATTTCAACCTCACAGAAGAGTGACAAGATTAAAACAGCATAAAAAACACTCCTACCCCTTTTACCCAGATTTGTCTGTTAACATTTTGTTCTTATCATTTGTGTTCATTGGTGCACACACTTTCTCCTTCTACACCCACGTACAGTTTTCTTCCTCAACCATTTGAAAGTAAGTTGCATACATCATGACCCTTGGTTTTAAGTACTTCAATATGTACATTTTAAGAATAGGACTATTCTCTTACTGTATTACTGTAGTGCATCTATCAACTTCAGCAAATTAACCCTTGATATACTTTACTTTATTATAGTTTTGTCAATTGATCAAATAATATCTTTTATAGTTTTCCCCCTCCAGAATCCCAATTTAGAATCAGGTTTTGCATGTCTCTTTGGCCTCCTTTAATCTAGAACATTTTTGTAGTCTTTCCATCATACTTTTTTGAAGAATATTTTTGACATTTTTTGAAGAATCGAGTACCTTCCACCACCACCCCCCTTTTACCTACCAATTTATCTGTGTGGACTCATAGAGTACTTTCTCCTGATGGTTTATAATTGTACTGTACTTGATTAATTTGGTACTTAATCGTATCATATTTGGCCAGTCGGGAGCCCCTTTGAGCTGGTTTCTGTGTCCTACATGCTCTCATCATTAAAAAAAAATGCTTTAAGGTATGTCTGGCATAATAGTAGGCTTTTAGGCTTGCTTTGTGTGGATCTATCCCTAGCCCTGGACTCAGCCATTTCTGAGGAGCACTGGTCCCCATTAGGGGAGATGGCATTCGAGACCAAAATCCAGATACTGTGTGTCCATGAGGACATGTGTAATGTATATACACAAAACACATAAGTGCATACACAGATACATATATATGCTCATATACATGCATATTTTAGGAATCTTACATTGATATCACCAAATCCAATTAATTAATCATAACCCTCAATATCTTCATCTTTAAAGTAATATATCTTCAATTAAGTATAGTTCTAGTCATTGTAGGAGGACTTTTAACAGTGGCTCGAAAAATGGGTATCCTTGTTCTTTGAGAGGAAAAAAGACTTCCAGGAGGGAAAAACTACTCTGTTTCTTGAAGACTCCTTCATGTTCCCTAGCTTGCCCTGCCCTTAGCCATTGGCCTCACCTTTGTTACCTCTTGACCCACCTCATTCAGAGGTAGAGGAGTGCAGGGTAGGCAAACTGTCTCACTGCTCCAATATCAGTAGGTGGAAGCTCTCCTGCCTCGGCCAAACCAATGTGCTCTGTTACTCATCTTTGTTTTACTTCCTTGTTCATCTACAAATTGGGGCAATTCCATGGAGCTGAGGTCTTTTGAGGTATGATTTCTGGTTTCCCCCCAAATCATCTGGAGATTCTTACATATAAGAAGTGGAGAGTGTTCATGAAATTTTAAGTTACTAACAGAAGTAAAGGGTAACTGGGTCTTTATCCCCAGAGCACTCGTCCCCCAGTACCCTGTTACCCTCTACTTCTACTCAGCAGGACCAACCAGCTGGCAACCTGCCCTGGGGAAATGCCACGGCATAGTAACTTACCAAGCAAGGCTTAAGAGCAGTTGAGAAATTCCTTGGAAGCTTTTTCCGGGATCTTTCGCTGAAGGATATTTTCCCTTTTGGGGTCTGCAGATCTGGCTTCTAAGTCAGGAAGCACACCAAAGAAGAAAACCGCTGTCCAGGCTAAGCTGACAGCCACTGGCCAGGTGACATCTCCAGTGAAAGGTGCCTCATTTGTCACCAATACCAATCCTCGGAAATTTTCTGGCTTTTCAGGTAATACAGGTTAGAGCTACTTCAGCTGTTAACGTTCTTCCTTTTTAGTATGGTATCCTATTTGGAACTCTCGCTAAAAATGAAAATTCTGGTCTACCTAGTCTAATTAATAATTTACTTCCATCTGAGCAGAGACAGGTAATGGCTAATTTTAATGCTCTACTTATATAGTATTTTGCTGTATAATTTCTATTGAAGCAGAAAAGATGTTTTCTCAAGATTTCTTCCCACCTAAGTAGTTCCCTGTCAGAGATTATTATAACCTGCCTTTAACTTTGTTTTTTTGATAATGAAAGAATTTTGGAAAATTCTTCCTTCCTTCCTTCCTTCCTTCCTCCCTCCCTCCCTCCTTCCTTCCTTCCTTCCTTCCTTCTTTCTCTCTCTCTCTCTCTCTCTCTCTTTCTTCTTTCTTTTCTTTCCTTCCTTTCCTTCCTTTTCTTCCTTTCCTTTCCTTCCTTTTCTTCCTTCCTTCCTTCCTTCCTTCCTTCCTTCCTTCCTTCCTTCCTTCCTTCCTTCCTTCCTTTCTTCTTCCTTTCTTCCTTCCCTCCCCTTCCCTTCCCTCCCCTTCCCTCCCCTCCCCTTCCCTTCCCTTCCCTTCTTTCTTTCTTTTCTTTCTTTCTTTCTTTCTTTTTCTCTCTTTTTTTTGTATCATTAATACAATTACATGAGCAACATTGTAGTTATTAGATTCCCCCCATTATCAAGTCCCCACCACATACCCCATTACAGTCACTGTCCATCAGCGTAGTAAGATGCTATAGAATCACTACTTGTCTTCTCTGTGCTATACTGCCTTCCCCATGCCCCCAGGCCACTGTTTCTTTACCTGTAAGATGAGTATAATGATATCTACCCCAGTAGGGCTATGCGGGACAGGGTGTTAAGTGAGGTTCCATACAGAGTACCAGCAGAGCATCTGTTATTTTCCCTTTCTAACTTCTCAACAAGGCATAGTGAATTGTCCTCCTGTTTCTCTCTCCCTTTTGCTTTCTCCACCAGCCAAGCCCAATAACTCTGGGGAAACTCACTCAAGCCCTATCCCTAAGGCAAGTCTGTCCTCAAGCAAATGTGACCCCAAGTACAAGGATTGTCTCCTGTGCAAGTTTCGGAAGTTGTGTGCCATGGTTGCTGAAAATCCTAGCTACAATACAAAGACCCAGATCATCCAGGATTTCCTTCGGAAAGGCTCAGCAGGAGGTGGGGCCTAGAGCATCCTGGACGGTCTTTTCATCCAAGGAGCTCAGAACCATGCCACCTTCATGAGCATGTGAACTGTACAGTTGCACAGGGTCCCATGCTTGCTTTAATGCTGTGTTACTGCCTTTTTAATAATTTTGAACAAAGCCCATTTTTATTTTGACCTGGGCTCTACAAAGTATTTATTCAGTTCCTTTCAAAACACAACATCTTTCTTTGGCCCTCATCTGCCTTCAGGAGGCCAGAAAAACGTGTCCCATTTGACCAAGAGGAAAATTCACTGTCCTGCATGTTAAGTTTTTGTGAACCATGTGCACAGCTTGGAAGCTTGTAATAGAATCTTCCAACTTTTCTTTCATGTAACAAGTCATCCCTGACTATCTATAATGTCATCTCTGAGGACACTGAAGTGAAAGTCATGGTTCTGCCCCACGCGAGTTCATCCAGGGGCTACAGAGGAGGCAGATAGATAAGCCTCCCGCACCGAACGCTGTGGCCTCTGCCAGAGTGAAGTGCACGGGGTACCGTGGCAGCACAGGCAGCGAGGTAGACACCTCTTCAGTTCCTTAAGTTATGCATTTGTTGAAGTTCTTGTTTCTCAAGAAGGGTTCCTTTCTTCTGTCTCCAGATGGTTTCCACAGTGATGTGTACTTAACAGTGAAGCTGCTGCTACCAGGTTTTATTAAGAGTGTTTACAACTTGAATGATAAGCAGATTGTTAGGCTTTTCAGCCGCGTTTTTAACTGCAGCCCAGGTGATATGGCACAAGACCTAGAGAAGGTCAGAGGACGGGGAGGGCATTGGGGGTGGGGTTCCAGTCTGAGGAGCACCTGCAACCTCTTTTCTCTGGTTGGGGCACACTGCTTTTAGGAAACCAGAAACCATGTAAGTAAGCTTCCGTTATGAAAGGAGCTGAATGTGAGGCTACAGCTGTTGGTTTCACAAGGTTCTGAGCACTGGAATCAACTTGCTGAACCACAGGAGGCCTAGAACTCGAGGGTCAGGATTTGAGACTTCCTGCTGTCTCCGGGGCTCGTTCTGGACACTGATTTTTCTTGCTTTTATCCCCTGTGACTTGGGCTCACCATTCAGCTTTGGTTTGTTCATGAGTCCAGCCTTGGCACCTTGGAAAGTCTCTAAGCACCCCTCTTAGCTGATGACTGTGTTTACCTATCAGTTCACATCCTAATGAATCACAGTGGCTCAGCCCTGGATCAGTCTTTGTTTCTCTTCTCAGCTAGGGCAGGTGCCCAGATCCTGGGGTGGATAGAGCTGCCCTTTCCAGGAACTGTGGGTGGGATAGACTCTGAGAAGTGAGGTCAGTATGTGTAAGCTGGGGACAGAAGTGATGATTTAGATCTCTGACTCACTTTTAGTCCTGCGATCTTGGGGGAAGATGCACTTGACCACTCAGGGGTTGCAGCAGTGGCATTTTGGTTTTTGGAGACAGGGTGACGTGTCGGAGCCAATCCGAGTCTTCTTTGAGCAGAGCAAGTCTTTTCCCCCAGCTGCCAAGAGCCTCCTTACCATCCAGGAGGTGGATGAATTCCTCCTGCAGCTCTCCAGACTCACCAGGGAGGATGAGCAGCAACAGGCCCTACAGGACACTGCCTCCAGGTGGGGGAGCTGCATGGGGATGGACTTGGGGAAGGAAGGTGTGGGGGTCCAGAGCTTTTCAGAGACCAAGTTGAATGTGCCTCATCCCCCTAGGTGTATACACCAATGACCTTAAGTGCATCATCAGGTTGATCAAACACGATCAAAGATGAACTCAGGTGCAAAACATGTGTAAGTACCAGCTCCTCTGACAGCCGTAGCTGCCAACAGCCCTTACTGCCAGCTGGTATCAAGACCTTGGTCCTGATCTGGATTAGAATCCTGATTCTCCCTTCCTTTCTTGGGACCTGTCACTTGACCTCACGCAGCCTCTGTTTCTCATGTAAAATGGAGGAGATAGTAATACCCTTCTCACAGGTTGTTACAATTGAAAATACATAATATGTTCAGTAAGTATAGTATGAATTACTTGTTCACTCCAGCCCCCTCTTTACTTAAGGTGTCATCCATGTAGGCACAGGATCTCAAAAAAGCTGAGTTTTCCAAGAGCTTTTTCTAATACAACGTAAACCATTCCCCATATATTGGGATGCTGCCTCTCTGTGTGAGGACAGACTGCTATCCAAGGAATAAAGTTAAAGTCATTGGTTTTTGTTTCCTTGTTTCTGTCTGCTTTGGCAGGTTAGATGCCCTTGACCCCATAACCTATGAAGCCTTCAAAGCCTCGTGTGACCTACGGGACGTGATGGAGTGGGTCCTCCTTAATGAGCAGGAGGTGGAGAAGGAGCCAGGCCAGAGATGAGCTTTGAGCATCCAGGCCGTGCTGATGACCCCAGTGCAGCCCATGCTGGTAAGGATGCTGCTCGGGGCCTGCTCTCCACTCTGCTCCAAGCATCCCATCCTTCCACGTGAGATCTGGTAGGGTATGAGTGCTGAGAGCCCTGGCAGTTGACTGGAGGAGTTTGAGGAAGGAAGAACACAGATGCAGAGGGTTGTTTCTCAGTGGAGAAGTAGAGGCAAAGGAAAAGATAGAATGATATAGTGGAAATTCCTGAACTCTAGGCCCAGGTCTCCCCCCAGTAAGCTGTAGAATCTTTGATGAGTTACCTAGCCTCTCTCAGCCTTTGGTTTCCTTGTGTGAATGACATCTGAAACTCTGCAGGAACTACTAGAATGGCTCATGTGTCATCTTTCCTGAAGACAGGTGGGTGTAATCGGTAACTCCTGGGCTTCTGTGACCTGCCCCAAAGTGCTCTAGTAGTTGGTGGCAGAGCTGGCTTCCTATGACTTGGGTCTCCTCTTCTGGAAAGTGGGAGTTTAAGGAATGAAGACCAGCTCTGATTATTTTCTCATTTTATGAGAAGTGAGATTTACATTCTGGCGTTGGTTTTCCTACATAGCAGGACCCTCCGTGCGTGCTTCCATGCCTACTGTGAGAGCCTGTGGGTTGTTTCAGTGGTATCCAGTGCTTCATATGCAACCGTCTTGTGTGTTAAACTAAAGCCTTGCTGCTGTAGGGTCCTGGGTTTGGGATGGGGATGTGTTCTCTCCCTCCTAGGAATGTGCAATGGCCAGCACCAAAATAATGAGTTCTCCATCCCAGGGACTGCAGTAGGTGACTGTTATAAGAATTCTTCCTGGAGTCTGTTCTACAACCCTTCATTTGAAGAGTGGCATGGGCTATGTAGCTTGGCGGTTGACCACATAGGCTTTAGAGTTGGGCCTAGATTCAAACCTCCTTCCTGCCATGTACTAGCTGTGTCACCCTAAGTAAGTACTTAATCTCTTAGAACTTCAGTTTTCTCACCCATAAAATGAAAACGATATCTATCATATAAGATATCATATCAAGGATGCAATGAGATTATGTATATGATCTGCTGCACATAAATACCCCAAAATCGTAGCCACTGTTGTTGCATCCAGATGGTGTAGGTATGTGAATAAGCACTCCTGTCATGTCCTGTCTCAGGGATCCTTGATCACCACTAGCCTGTCACCTGCACTCTTTAATCTAACTTCTGTGTGCCTCTTTTGCTGAGATAAATGATGTGCTATAATGATAAGCCAGAGGCCCTGCAAGATCCTAAATTATTGAGAAAAAAAATGAAATGCTACTTCAGTAGAATTTTATTTGCTTTACAATGAACTGCATTCATATTCCTTAAAATGCAAGCTCCTGTGTCAACTCCGGTGATGCTTTTACAGTCAGAATACAACACTGTCTAGCCTCGTCTGTTCTCATCACCTCTCCAGTGACCTGCCCTGAAGGTGTGCTCTGGCAGTCCGTCCCCAGGACTCGGGCTCTTGGGCTGTCCCTGTTAAGTAGCCCCTCACTGGAAGAGCACCTCTAAGTGTCCAGGGTTTTCTTTCCCTGCCCCAAGGCCGAGGCCTGCAAGTCCATGGAGTACGCAGTGAAGGAATGTCCTCACAGCATGTTCTCTGAGATCAAGTATGATGGAGAGCGAGTTCAGGTACGTAAGAATGGGGACCACTTCAGCTACTTTAGCCGCAGTCTCAAGCCTGTCCTGCCTCACAAGGTATGGGTTGCTTCCCTTCTGCCAGGACTCGTTCCCTTCCTGCCTCTGAGAACCTCAAGGCCAGAGGCCCCTAGCCATTCCAGTGCTGGGGTGCAATACGTTTGTTTTGTATTTGTTGGATGAATTCATCTATTCATTTTTAGAGTCTTCTCCCAGTGAGGGGCTGCTCCGTAGGGCCGGCCCAAGAGCCCAGATGTGGGTTAGGCAGCAGAGAGGGGACGGGCAGGAATGCTTCCCTTGCCCACAGTGACGTTGGGACAGCAAGCTCACCCAGAAGTAGCTTATAGTGCTTATCCTTGGTGTTTCTGTGTCTTCTGTGCTCCCTCCCACCCCCACCAAGCTAAATTACAACTCGGTACAGAGGGCTGTTGGGCTGTCATTCAGGAATTTAACAAACGTTTCTCAGGTGCTTACCTTGTGCAAGGCACTGTTCGAGGTAGTGGACATACTGCAGTTTTAAAAAACTGGACAGAATTTCTAGCCCTCCAGAAGCTTACTTTCTGAAGTAAACATAATGCCATGGGAACAGCTGGGAGCCCAGACTCCTGCCCTTAATTAGGGGGCATTGATAACCTTGCTCCTCAGCCCTTCTCAACTCCCAGGGCCTCTGTGAGCCTTTGGGGGTGTCTTCTGGGAAAAGCAGCTAGAATATGTGGCTGCAGACGGACTTTCTGTCCTACCTCTTCTTTCCTAGCTCAGACTCCATTTTTCAGAGCCCCCAGGGTGAAGGGGACATTTCCTGTGGCTCAGGTTTGTTTCGGGTGCCCCAGAGGCAAGTAAGCTGTGGCTCCCCATGGAGCAGGCTCACTTGCTCAGAGGGTCACAGTGACGCCACCGCGGACCTGTTCCTGGTAAGGTTGTCCAGTGGGCACTTCCTGGTTCCCAGGAAGAAGTCTGAGCACAGCTTTCCAGCATTAGAGAACTTTTCCTTGCTCTCCTCACCAAAGCTTGATTCACCCCTTGTCTCTTCTGTGCTTTTGGTTTGTGAAGGGCTGGTCAGGGATTGAAGCAGGGCAGGATGGCTGTGCAGGCCTTTCCTGGCCCTGCTCCAAGCATCGCAGATAATGATGGCCCGTGCACCCTGCTCGGGAGCTGGCCGCAGTCATGCTCTCCAAACCTCCCTGCTGCCATCACTTGGCAGGAGCTGCTGCAGGCTACAATCCAGCCTCTCCCTGTCCAGGACCGTCACAGACTAGGGCTTTGCCTTGAACAGGAAAAAAATCTAATTCCAAACATCCTTTCTTGCTCATTTTGAAGACGGCCGTGGGTTCAGAGCTCCCACTCAGAAGACTGTCCTCACATTGCCTTGCTGCGCTCCTACCAGGGTTCATGTTTTCTGTCCATCTTTTTTTCCAGCCAGTCTGTTCTCCCCCACAGACCTTCTTGCGTCCTGCCTGTCCTCCCTCCCTCCCGTGGTTGTCCCCACTTGCTTCCCCACATGCTCACTCTGGTTTTTCCTTTTCCTCAACGTCTCCTTCTCTGCAGCCCACAGGAAGTGATTCGGCATGGGCCGGCCTCTTCGGGTCCGGACAGAGGCCCTGAAACATACCCTCCTCCTCTTGTCTGGGAGGCTGATGAGGCTTAGGTCTGAGTGTTTGCACAGTAGCTGGGCTTCCCCGTGTGTGTGTTCTTTGTTCCTTCTGGGGCCTGGGTTTTGCTTTCCGTGGCTCAACTTTAGGTCCCTGCCACCCATTCCTCCCTCACCTAAATGGCCTTTCTGCCTTCAGGTGGCCCACTTTAAGGACTACATCCCCCAGGCTTTCCCTGGGGGCTACAGCATGATCTTGGACTCTGAGGTGCTCCTGATCGACAACAAGATAGGCAAACCACTGCCCTTTGGGACTCTGGGAGTGCACAAGGTACTGGCTTAGGGCCAAATGTGTGAGAATGAGTGCGCACGTGCATATACGTGTATGTTGTAGGTCTGAATGGGAGGAGTTTATCACCTCAGAGTTGGGCTTGTTCTTTGTTTCTAAACTGTTTCTGAATTTAGCCAAGTTTTTGCACAAAAGGAGCTAGTATTGGGAACTAACTTAAAATTGGGTTGGTTTTCCTTCAGGACCACCTGCTAACTGCCCTTAAGGCCCAAGGGCTTCAAAACACAAATAGGACTTTTTAAAATCAGGTGCTTCAGAGGGTTCTTCAGAAATGGACTGATACTCCCCATTTTTCATGCCCTTATTTTTGTCCCTCATGCACCTACAGACTCATTTTCCCTTACAGAAAGCTGCCTTCCAGGATGCTAATGTCTGCCTGTTTGTTTTTGATTGTATCTACTTCAATGATGTCAGCTTGATGGACAGGTGAGGAATCTGTTTCCAGTCCCCGGGTGGGGAGGGTGGGGGTGAGATTGAGGAGGAGAGGAGGGGAGGGCCTGAGCATGTACCTCCTGGCGCCCAGGGGCAGGGCAGGAGGGCTGAGAGGCAGCGCACTTGCTTCACAGTCGCTCCTCATGCAGCGTCAGGAAGAGCCGATGTGCTGAGAGCTTAAGGCAGAGAGGAAACCCAAAACCCCCACAGAAATTCTCTGCTCCGGCAAAATGGGCTGTTGACAGGAAACAGAATATGAACTCAGGAGAGTTCCAGTTTATTTCTTCAACAGCACCCATGAGGCAAAAGGCAGATGGTTTTCAGGTCAGAGCTTTTAATTTTGGAAGAGACAAACAGAAAGCACATGATTGTAGGGGGACTGTAGGTGGGACCATCTTAGGGAGAAGTAGAAATCCTGACTTACCTGCATCCAAATTCTTGGGGCCAAGTTTCAGGCAGTACTGGCCCCTTCCACCGGGGAAATGCATCCCTGCTTCTCGAAACACACACTGGCCCATGCGTCTGAGTATGGAAGGTGAAGGACGTGAAAGAAAGAATTGTTGTGGGCAGGAGTTGGCGTTTGGGCCTTAGGTCTTGAGGCCTTTCAGCCAGCCAGCCTTGGACCTGGGGTGACAGGGTGCAGTCATTTTTCAAGTGGGACCAGAATTTATGCAGTCTCGGCTAGAGGCCAGTTCTCTTGGGCTTGATGCAGCAGCAACATCGTCTGGCGGTGAAGGTGCTCTGTGCCAGAGCCATGATGGGGCCCTTGGCAGGCAGCAGCATCAGGCACAGGGCTTTGTGCTGTGGCAGCCCTCTCACGGAACAACAGTTGTGTCCCTCCCTCTGAGAACTGCTGATGGGGTGGGAGGATCCTCACCTGACCACAGCTGTCTTGTCCCCTAAGGCCTCTGTGTGAGCGGCGGAAGCTTCTTCATGATAATATGGTTGAAATTCCCAATCGGATCATGTTCTCAGAAATGAAGCAAGTCAAGGTGAGCAAAGACCCCACTCTAGGCAGCATCCTAGTGGTTTGAAAGCAGAGCAAAAACCCCTCCGGTCAGATGTGACTGGGAGAATGAGTCTTCATTTTATTTTGGGGTTGCTGGTGCACAAAGGATGTCCACTAGTCTCCACCTAGGAGGGAAACATCTTCCCAGATGGACTCCCTGTGTCTCAAAGCCATAGCAGCTCATTGGTTCGGAGAGTCCCTACTTTGTGAGCCCTTTGTTCCTTGTGTTCAAGTCTGGAAGCTTCCAGCTGGCACCTTAGTAGTGTGCAAAATGGACAACTTTCCACCTCACTCCCATGGCACTCTCTTCTCACACCAGCCTCAACCTCTCTCCTGTTATCCTTCAGAGAGCTGCCGACTTGGCTGGTATGATAAACCGGGTGATCCGAGAGGGGTTGGAAGGGCTGGTGCTGAAGGATGTGAAGGTGAGATGGTCCCATCCTTTGCTTTCTCCTGTGGACTCTTAGTCCTCCCGTGAGCCTTTCCAGCCCTGGCCAGGAGATGGTGGTGGCGGTTTGGGGTGGTTGGGAGCGGGTGCTGAGGGGCGCCTTTCCAAGGTTTGGCCAGCTGTGTTCTGCGTCTGTTGGGTGAGTTTGCCCGTCTCCTGCAGAGGCTGACGCCTGAGGGTTCTCGCCCAGTGCACTGTGATAGATGGGGTACATCATGTGAAGAGGTAGATCCCACCCTTACGGAGGTCCCATTCTAGTTTGTGGTCTCTCTCTTGCTTCCCCTCAGGGTACATACGAGCCTGGGAAGCGGCACTGGCTAAAAGTGAAGAAAGACTATTTGAACGAAGGGGCCATGGCGGACACAGCTGACCTGGTGGTCCTTGGAGCCTTTTATGGACAAGGAAGCAAAGGTCGGGATGGCCTTCTGGCCTTTGGGATGGTACTTCTTTAGACAGCACCACTCAACATACAGGCTGGCCTTTTTACAGGCTTGATCTCCCAGCATGGCCAGTTGTGTCTTCCAAAGTTCTGGGATTGGGGGCCCAACCCGGCCCATGTCACCTCAGTTAGGCAGGGACATTTGAGAGCTACACACTTAGGCAGCAAGAGGACAGGCAAGAACACCCCGTGCTGGTGCAGCACCGAGAAGCTCATGACCTGCTAGTCCTTCAGGGCCTGGCAGGTTTCTCCTCGGGAAGAGTAGCTCCTGACTGGAGGGGAAGCTGGGATCTGAGGAACTAGTACAGTTGACCCACGAATAACATGGGTTTGAACTGTGCAGGTCCACTTATATGCAGATTTTTTTCAATAAATATATTGGAAACTTTTTTTGAGATTTGTAACAATTCGAAAAAACATGAACCATGTAGCTCAGAAATTGAAAAAATTGAGTTAGGTATGTCATGACTGCATAAAATGTGTATAGATAATCTATTTTATCATTTGCTACCATAAAGTCAACAGACTATTAGTAAAGTTTTGGGGGAGTCGAAAGTTACTCATGGTTTTTTTGACTGTGGGGGTCAGCACCCCAGTCCCTGAGCGGTTCAGTGGAGAGCTGTATTTTCAGGCCATCTGCTATGTGCCTGAATATCACTATTCAGTTCCTCTTATTCCTCACGAGAGGCCAAGGTTACGTATGATCATCCCTAAGTTACTGAAGAGAAAATTGGGGCTCATTAAGGTTAAACTTACACCGCTAGTAACAGGTAGATCCCAGAGGTGAACTCTGCACTCTGATGTCAAGGCCCAGGCTCTTTCCTCTCCAGCAGGCTACCTCTCCCTGGGCACGGGGGGTTGGCAGAGGCTCCCTCCTCCCACAACTTAGCTCATCCCCCTCCCAGGCGGCATGATGTCTATCTTCCTCATGGGCTGCCATGACCCGAGCACCCAGAAGTGGTGCACAGTCACCAAGTGTTCAGGAGGCCATGATGATGCGACGCTTGCCCGCCTGCAGAGAGAACTGGACATGGTGAAGATCAGCAAGGTGAGGAAGGGGCCTGGTTGGCCTGGCCCCCAGACCAGCTGGCATTGCCGAGACAGGCTGCATCTTGGGAATGCAGGTAATGTTCCTCTCCGTGGAAAGGAGAGCTGCTTGCTGCTTGGCCAGGGAGCAACCCTCAAAAGTCTCTAAGTGCCTACTTGTGGAAACTGGCCAACATGCCCTCTGGGCAGGGTGCATTCCACGAGGTGAGGGTTAGCCTTTCGTGAACAGTCCCCCTCTTCCCAAGCCCATGACCAAGAGGCGTTTTAAGTCTTGTTTTCGCTTGGGAACAGCCTGGGAACCGTGTCTTTTCTCTTCCAGGATCCCAGCAAGATACCCAGCTGGCTGAAAATCAATAAGATCTACTATCCTGACTTCATAGTCCCAGACCCAAAGGTATCAGCTAGTGGCCTGGGGTCCTCTGGTCCACAGAATGCACAGGTTCTCTGCTGCCACAGACACCATCTCACCCTCACTGATGGTCCATCCAGATAGGATCTGGACTGTTGCTGAGTGACAGGCACAGGGACAGCCCTTTAGCACTAAGGTTTCCTCAGTAGAGAAAGGGAAGTAACTGCCTATCCCCTAGCCACAGCGGGTCTGCTCTAAAAGTGACCTGGCCGGTCCCTTGTACTGATGGAGAAACCAAGGCTCAGAAGAGAAAGGATGTTCCTAAGGTCATAATAGGGTCAGCAGCAGCAGAACCACAGCCCTGTTTCACCTGTTAGCCAGTGCGTGGGTGGTGGTTTTAAGTGTTCTGTGTTGCCTCTAGTTGGTTGGGAGATGTTTTCTTCATAACCACTGAGTGACCTGACTTAACTACTGACAGAAAGCTGCCGTGTGGGAGATCACAGGGGCTGAATTCTCCAAATCTGAGGCGCACACAGCTGATGGGATCTCCATCCGATTCCCTCGCTGCACCCGAATCCGTGATGATAAAGACTGGAAATTTGCAACTAACCTCCCGCAGCTTAAGGTACCAGCTCTTCGGCTGCATGTGTCTTCTGCCCCACTACCCAGCCTCGGCTCTGTGGGCATCTGGTCTGTTCACATGTCCTCTGTCTTCTCCTTTCCCCCATTCCACTGAGACAGGGCAGGGAGGGCAGTCAGACCAAACTGTTGCAGGGCCAGGAGCCGAGGCACGAGGCCCCCACCCACATTTCCCAGTAGAGAACCCTGCCTTCCCCAAGCCACTGGGCAGCCCTGGGTCCTGGAGAGGGAGACTCCTGCTCTCCCAGCTTCCTGTGGAAGGCTCGGTCCCAGGGCACAGTCTCAGTGTTCTGCTAAGAGCTGGGCCCAGAGCACAGTGGTTTGCATGGGTGGGGGTGAGATTGAGGAGGAGAGGAGGGGAGGGCCTGAGCATGTACCTCCTGGTGCCCAGGGGCAGGGCAGGAGGGCTGAGAGGCAGCGGGCACTTGCTTCACACTTGCTTCACAGTCGCTCCTCATGCAGCGTCAGGAAGAGCGTCAGGAAATACAAACCCCCACAGAAATTCTCTGCTCCGGCAAAATGGACTGTTGACAAGAAACGGACTATGAACTCAGGAGAGTTCCAGTTTATTTCTCCAACAGCACCCATGAGGCAAAAGGCAGATGGTTTTCAGGTCAGAGCTTTTACGTTTCGATGAGACAAACAGGAAGCACATGATTGTAGGGGGACTGTAGGTGGGACCATCTTAGGGAGAAGTAGCAGTCCTGACTTACCTGCATTCAAATTCTTGGGGCCAAGTATCAGGCAGTACTGGCCCCTTCCGCCAGGGAAATGCATCCCTGCTCCACCCCCCCCCCCCACACACACACACAGTGGCCCACGTGTCTGAGTATAGGAGGGGAAGGATGCAAAAGAAAGAATTGTTTTGGGCAGGAGTTGGCGTTTGGGCCCTAGGTCCTGAGGCCTTTCAGCCTGCTGAGTCCAGAGCCAGCCAGCCTTGGACTTGAGGTGAGCAGGGTGCAGAGTCATTTTTCAAGTGGGACCAGAATTTATGCAGTTTGGGCTAAAGGCCAGTTCTGCTGGGCTTGACGCAACAGCAACAGGATCTGGCAGTGAGGGTGCTCTGTCCCAGAGCCACGATGGGGCCCTCGGCAGGCAGCGGCATCAGGCACGGGGCTTTGTGCCATGGCAGCCCTCTCACGGAGCAACGGTTGATTGTGACCCTCCCTCTGAGAACTCCTGATGGGGTGGGAGGATCCTCGCCTGACCACAGCTGTCTTGTCCCCTAAGGCCTCTGTGTGAGCGGCCGAAGTTTCTTCATGATAGTATGGTTGAAATTCCCAATTGGATTGTGTTCTCAGAAATGAAGCAAGTCAAGGTGAGCAAAGACCCCACTCTAGGCAGCATCCTAGTGGTTGGAAAGCAGAGCAAAAACCCCTCCGGTCAGATGTGACTGGGAGAATGAGTCTTCATTTTCTTTTGGGGTTGCTGGTGCACAAAGGATGTCCACTAGTCTCCACCTAGGAGGGAAACATCTTCCCAGATGGACTCCCTGTGTCTCAAAGCCATAGCAGCTCGTTGGTTCGGAGAGTCCCTACTTTGTGAGCCCTTTGTTCCTGGTGTTCAAGTCGGGAAGCTTCCAGCTGGCACCTTAGTAGTGTGCAAAATGGACAACTTTCCACCTCACTCCCACGGCACTCTCTTCTCACACCAGCCTCACTATCTCTCCTGTTATCCCTCAGAGAGCTGCAGACTTGACCAGTATGATAAACTGGGTGATCCGACAGGGGTTAGAAGGGCTGGTGCTGAAGGATGTGAAGGTGAGATGGTCCCATCCTTTGCTTTCTCCTGCGGACTCTTCAGTCCTCCTGTGAGCCTTTCCAGCCCTGGCCAGGAGATGGCGGTGGCGGTCTGGGGTGGTTGGGAGCGGGTGCTGAGGGGCGCCTTTCCAAGGTTTGGCCAGCTGTGTTCTGCGTCTGTCGGGTGAGTTTGCCCGTCTCCTGCAGAGGCTGACGCCTGAGGGTTCTCGCCCAGTGCACTGTGATAGATGGGGTACATCATGTGAAGAGGTGGATCCCACCCGCACGGAGTTCCCATCCTAGTTTGTGGTCTCTCTCTTGCTTCCCCTCAGGTTACATGAGCCCGGGAAGTGGCACTGGTTGAAAGTGAAGAAAGACTATTTGAACGAAGGGGCCATGGCGGACACAGCTGACCTGGTGGTCCTTGGAGCCTTTTATGGGCAAGGAAGCAAAGGTCGGCATGGCCTTCTGGCCTGTGGGATGGTACTTCTTTAGACAGCACCACTCAACATACAGGCTGGCCTTTTTACAGGCTTGATCTCCCAGCATGGCCAGTTGTGCCTTCCAAAGTTCTGGGATTGGGGGCCCCAACCTGGCCCATGTCACCCCAGTCAGGCAGGGACATTTGAGAGCTACACACTTAGGCAGCAAGAGGACAGGCAAGAACACCCCGTGCTGGTGCAGCACCGAGAAGCTCACGACTGGCTAGTCCTTCAGGGCCTGGCTGGTTTCTCCTCTGGAAGAGTAGCTCCTGACTGGAGGGGAAGCTGGGATCCAAGGAACTAGTACAGTTGACCCTCAAATAACATGGGTTTGAACTGTGCAGGCCCACTTACATGCAGATTTTTTCAATAAATATATTGGAAAAATTTTTTGAGATTTGTAACAATTTGAAAAAACATGAACCATGTAGCTCAGAAATTGAAAAAATTAAGGAGTTATGGAAGTCATGAATGCATAAAATGTGTATAGATAATCTATTTTATCATTTGCTACCATAAAGTCAACAGTAGACTGTTAGTAGTTAAGTTTTGGGGGGGTCAAAACTTACTCATGGTTTTCTTGACTGTGTGGGGGTCAGCACCCAGTCCCTGAGGGGTTCAGGGGTGAGCTGTATTTTCAGGCCATCTGCTATGTGCCTGAATATCACTATTCAGTTCCTTTTATTCCTCACAAGAGACCAAGGTTACGTATGATCATCCCTAAGTTACTGAAGAGGAAATTGGGGCTCATAAAGGTTAAACTTACACAGGTAGTAACAGGTAGATCCCAGAGGTGAACTCTGCACTCTGACGCCAAGGCCCAGGCTCTTTCCTATCCAGCAGGCTGCCTCTCCCTGGGCATGGGGGGTTGGCAGAGGCTCCCTCCTCCCACAGCTTAGCCCATCCCCCTCCTGGGCAGCATGATGTCTATCTTCCTCATGGGCTGCCATGACCCGAGCACCCAGAAATGGTGCACGGTCACCAAGTGTTCGGGAGGCCATGATGATGCGACGCCTGCCCGCCTGCAGAGGGAACTGGACGTGGTGAGGATCAGCAAGGTGAGGAAGGGGCCTGGTTGGCCTGGCCCCCAGACCAGCTGGCATTGCCGAGACAGGCTGCACCTTGGGAACGCAGGTATCTCCACGAAAGGAGAGCTGCTGCTTGGCCAGGGAGCAACCCTCAAAAGTCTCTAAGTGCCTACTTGTGGAAACTGGCCAACATGCCCTCTGGGCAGAGGGCATTCCACGGGGTGAGGGTCAGCCTTTTGTGAGCAGTCCCCCTCTTCCCAAGCCCATGACCAAGAGGTGGTTTAAGTCTTGTTTTCCCTTGGGAACAGCCTGGGAATGGTGTCTTTTCTCTTCCAGGTTCCCAGCAAGATACCCAGCTGGCTAAAAATCAACAAGATCTACTATCCTGACTTCATAGTCCCAGACCCAAAGGTGTCTATCAGCTAGTGGCCTGGGGTCCTCTGGTCCACAGAACACACAGGCTCTCTGGTGCCACAAAGACACCGTCTCACCCTCACTGATGGTCCATCCAGATAGGATCTGGACTGTTGCCGAGTGACAGGCACAGGGACAGCCCGTTAGCACTAAGGTTTCCTCAGTAGAGAAAGGGAAGTGACTACCTATCCCCTAGTCACAGCGGGTCTGCTCTAAAAGTGACCTGGCCAGTCCCTTGTACTGACAGAGAAACCAAGGCTCAGAGGAGAAAGGACATTCCTAAGGTCATAATAGGGTCAATG